ATGTAGTTACGCTGCCTCTTCTGCAGGGTGACTAGCTAACATCCTAAATCTGCACCTTGAAAATAAAAAGGCAAGAAAAGACACTACTCCCTCATGAATATCTTGAAGGCCAATTTGTTAGAAAAAATCTAATTTGTCAAACAAGTTTTTTGAATGCACATTTAATAACGTCCTCTCAGTTTCAAAAGATACAAACACCTCTTCATAAGCTACAGAATGGAAAATGCTTTACAATTAAATAAAGTACTGAAATCAGCTTTAGCCACCTAAGAGAAAGCAGATTGGACCCCCAGAAAAATCTTATCCCATCAGGCTTAAATTTGAGGGCTTCATAAATGCAAAATAAAGGATGAAAAGAATCATCAAAAGAATCAAGTTTTGAACTCCCATAAATCACAGCAATTTGGATTTCTTTCCTTAAGAGTTAATCTTCAAAAACAGAGCTCCTCTTAAAGGTGAATCAATTACATTTCCAAACTAAAAAGATGTAGTATAAAATAGTAAATTTTCTCTATGAAAATACAGAAAATAAAATGAAAAACAGTTTTCACTTTGTATTAAAAATGCATATGTACAGTAAAATGCTTACGATTAACAAAAGGTACAATAAATAGGAGACAGGGTAAGTTCTCAAAGTTGTTCATCCTGGAATAAGATGTTAACATTTGGCTACCTAGGAATAAAAGATTGAATCCCCAATTTTGAAAAACAATAATCATGCCGTATGCCCACTCCCCGTTCTGCCCAGGAGAGGTGGCAACTTGCACACCTTTCTTTATGGAGAGGCTCATGAGTGCTTTCAAGTGGGGTACGAGTGCCATGCTGATGAGAGCGTCTACTTCTAAATTCACAAAGGCATTTCAAAAACACGCCAGAGCACCAGGCGTTTAAACCAAAAACTGCTCGGAGGATTTGGTATTCTGATTATAAACTAGGCTATCCCAGTGTTCACTGAACAGCAATGTGAGACTCAACCTTTTAAAAAATGTACATTTCGTTTTATTTAGAAAAAATTGAAGTACACTTGCTGTTAGGAAAATGAAGGCCTGCACTTCTGTTTCTCAGCCTGCGAGGATGGCTACTTAGTAACTAGTTTTCTATTGCCATCTACAGGCGAAGTGTCCCCTAACACGGCATATGGAAATGCACTAGCTCGAAGGTCTCTCTCACTCTAGAACTAAGCTTCCCAGAATCACAATTATTTGCACGCTGATTAGTATGGATTTGTTCAATTAGACTGAAATGCTCTATTTGCATGAGCAAAATGCAAAAGAAGAACTTTAAAGCATTAGGAAAATTATCGGTTAAAATAATAAACAGCATTAAATGAGGAAAAATAAATTGGAACTGACATCTTAGTCATCGGTTCTTCATCAAGCTGAGCAAATCTAATAATGCCTCCCTCCCCTCCCTTAGCTCTCAAGACGTCCACCGTTAAAATGTCATCTCTAATTCCATTTTATGTCTATAAATTGCATTTTAATAACCTTTTGTTTTCCTTTCTCTGTTCTGTTCTGTTTTGTTTTGCTTTTTTTTAATCCCCCAACTACTGGGAAGGTGGTAGAGGGACAATAGAGTCTTTCTGAGAGGCAGAATGTTGCAGTTATAGGGACAGCAGTGGGTTTCCACCTAATCACGTTGCCTGACCTAAATGTCAGAACACCTTTTCCCCTTTTAGAAGAGCCGCATGATCCCTGTGAGCCTCCAGCTGGTAATTACTCTCCCAGCCAATTCAAGGACCTCTTGCAACCTTAATATAAAGTTATCATTTGTCCTTTCTTTGGTCTAATAATGTAGGGAGTGGGAAGCAGAGAAGAAAAAAATGACAATACGAACAAAAAAACACTAAGGTTCAGAACCGTGAGTGCATGTTAAACTCTGCTCGTGTCATAAATTACACCTGTGACTAGAGTCTGTTTGTTATGACAGTATGCTCTTTTTTCCTTTGTCACTCCGAGAAAGAAAAAGTGTCATGAATTCCTTTATAAGCATCGTTGATCTCCAGCAGGTAGTAAGGTTGCTAACCAAGGGAAGAGAAGTACCAGTTAAGGACTAATGATTTAATTGCTGATTTCCTGTAAAAACAAGCTGATTGACGCTACATTCTAAATAGTACTTTTTTTTTTATTTTAAAGGGTGTATATAATTTCCAAAAATCAGTCCTAGGACAAAGGTAGTTTAAAATAAAATACATTATTTGATAGCCTCTGAGGAGAGCATACATGCTCATGGGAAAAAATTCTGTCTCAATGAAATTTATGCTGAAATCAGTTTTTTCTATATCTATCAATTATAAGTCATTACAGTATTATATTAATTACAGGAATTTCTATCATGTGGGTGAATTAATAATTATAATGCATTATTAAATTATCAAACGGTCTTTATAGCATGCATCATTTACGAAGGCTATTCCTTCTACCTACCACTTACATTCTGCCTCACAGCAGAATATCATCCCCTTGCAGTTCTACTTTAGTTTGAGCTGGAATATTATTTAATGCCAGGGTTCCTTTTTCTTGTGCGAGTCCCCTGAGACTTCGTCTTTGCACTTTAAGAATGGGAACATTGTAATGGAATATAATGCTATTCTGAAAGTTAACAACAAAGGCAGCCAACCCTGGCCATTGTTTAATTCCCAGCCCCGCCCTTTGACTAGCGACCTTCCCCAGGTTCTTACGGAGGGTGTGGACATTTATGAGGGAAAAGCATTCTGGAGAAGGTGCATAAATGCATATATGATGGCAGGCCAATTTCTTCTGAAACAACCTCTGAAATTTACAGCGATATTCTCTTTCATGCTTGAAATATTGATGATAGTAGTCAACACGTGAATTGTGCTTTAGAATTGACAAAGCACTTTTTCAGATATTTCTCCAAAAAGTCAATTATTTTGAGTAGGATTTAAGTTGATAATTACTTTTTAAAACTTTATAGTAGATAAAGATTAAATAAGCATGCAACTAATGCATAACTCAGCATCACACAGCCCATTTTACAATTTATATTACCAGTTCGTATGGTTTCCATGGAAACATGTTAGTGATGAACTGAGAAACTGATATTAAATTGCACTCAAAATGGTCCAAACATAATATTTAGAAAAAAAATCAGTGGACCTTTGATCTTCAAATACTAACTGGAGTTTTTTGAGATCTACTTAGATGAGGTTGTAATAAACTCATGTAGATTAGGTTTCAGAATTTATCCAGGTCTGATTAAAGCAGGATTTCCCCTCAAATCTGTGTTGTCTGTCCAATGGAAAATTGCCCTGAAGTTCCTGTGCTTAGTCATTATAAGACTCCCAGAATACTGTGAACAAACCATTACTGAGCAACCAAGGCAAACTTAACCAAAGACTAATTAAAATAAAAGACCAGGGAAAATGAAAACAAAAACAAAATGACAAAAGTGGAAAAAGCACCCTTTCTAGCAGCTGTAAGCCCTCAGCAGGAGCAGAAAAGCAGTCCTTTTCATGGACAAGCGTGCTGGCAGTCCATTCCAAAAGAAAATTGTGGAATCAAATGTTTTGGAATAGACTTATATCTTGAATGATGAAAATAGAGTATAGAATGTCTGGTTTAGTTGAGAATGACCATGAGATTGTTACTTCCAAAAATTACTGACTGAATATTAGCTGATAACAAAGAACATTGACAATCCATGAAGACGTGAAGGACAATGTACTCCTACATTGAATTTCCTTAGAAAGAACTCAAGAGAGGGGGCAAGAAGAACAACTTGCAATTTTAAATCCTCAGCACCGAGGAGCATCTGAAAGAGTACGCGTATGCGTTCTATTTAGTACTGTCAGTGTAGTCATGAGCCAGTTACTCACACTCATGTAACTCACTGTTGAAAGGGTTCAATCAAAAAACATGAAATGCAAACAGTACAAGAGAGTGTATGCATGCATTGGTGCCACCTGCAAATTCTGGAAGCTCATATCAAATATTTAGTAACCCAGATCTGGGATTGGTTGTATTGAATATGTCACTTATTTATCTTTAGCTTTATCTGGAGCTCTAGCACAACCAAAAAAGAAAAAGAGAAAGAAAATAAAAACACCCATAGAAGTAGTTAAATATCCAGTATTGCTCATGAGCATGAAGGACTGTTTAGTAGCATAAATACTTTTTAAAATTCCACATCATAGCGTCTCAGTTCTTTGTTGAGAAAAAACCAGCTTAAGGGATTTCACATCGAATAAACTGTTAAAATGTACATACTTTGAAAAAAGAGGAAATTATTAAAAACTCAAGTAGTCGGGGACTTGAATATATTTACTCTAGAATATGACACCAGGAAGTATGAGGTTTCATTATTTCTCTGCCCAATTTAATCTTTGCCTAGAGCTGCTATCAAATTGCATGTAGTGTATGTCTGCATGTATAGAATAGAAAGAAAAAAAGTCCTTGGGCAGCCGCATCAATAAAATGGTGAATGTTAAAAGACTTGCAACTTTAGAAACAGAAATTTCTAAGCAGCAAGACATCGCAATTTCTTTGGGTGTTCACAGCAATTCGATTTCACTGAAAATCTTACTGTGTAAGCTTTCTGCTATGTTTTGGCTTTCATTTAGGTCTCATACAAAGATCTATAGTGTTCCAATCTCTCTCTGCAATGTCGCCTCTCTCAGCTTCTCTTCCCTCCCAGGTCCTGGCAAAAGGACACTATGAACTCTTTTTCTCAGATCCCAAAAGTTTGCATTGGCACAGAGTCCAGTGTGGGGGAGTTTTTCTGCTTTAAAAAATAAATCATGAAATTAATATATACTGCAAGACACCCTGGAGGTGTTGGATAATGATGTGACTCCCAGGGAAATGATCAGCAAAAACACATAACATATATAAGCCCAAACCTCCCCCGGTGCATTAAATGGTCAAGCTGTCTAAAGAAATGACCCATTCTGCTGTCTCTGGGTGGAATCTCCTGAGTGATGCCTGTCTCTTAGGTGGATTGCTTTTAAAAAGTTATAGGTGGATATTTCAGATGCTTACTGCTATGACAGAAACTCCAGCTGCTGTGCTATTCGGCTTGGGGCCTGTGTTGAAATGCTTCTTTATCTTTCCAGCTACTGACAGCTGATGTTCATTTTCTGGGAGGCCGTCATCCTGGGAAAAAAAAAAAAAAAAAGAAATGAGAAAAGAAGAAAAAGAAAAAAGTGAGATAAATGGAAAATGAGGCCAAGATCCTCTAGTAACAGGTAGTGATCTTAAAATTCATAAGATTTCAGAAATAAACCAACCAATATATCCTCATTAAACATTATTGTTGGAAGTACTGCTCCAAGGTCTCATTCATTTCCACATCTGCCCTAATATTAATCTTCTGTGTCATCTGACCCTCAGAGTTCTGTCCCTAACTAAAAATTTTTATTTCTGTTTTTGATTTCTAATAAAATTGATTTGAGCCATGGCTCTAGGGACATATGTTAAAGAGCAAGTTAATCTGGACAACCAAAAAAAAAAAAAATCAATGTAAACATCTTTTTGTTTTCTGACTCAAGAGTTTTATCCTCTTAGCCCATCATTCAGACCCAAAGCTGAGGAAACTGACAGATGTGGGCTCATGCAGGGGCCAGTAAATAAACTCAGGCTGCTTCCACAGCTACTCAATCGGCCATTCTATAATCCCAGACAACCTTCCAGGCAGAAAGTTCTTTAAGTCTTAAATCCTCCTTGCTGCCTTCAAATCACCCGTTGTTATGACATACTTCACACTGGAGCTCATTTTAACTAAGGCTTCTGCTCTCCGTCGGGGCTGTCTATGATGGAGGCTGGACAGATTGCTCTCCTTTGCTAAATTCTGTTACAATAACAATAAGCAGCATAAGTATGTGCCACCACTTACTAGTTCACAACGCTTGAAGACAGAGACTGTTTTGTCCACTTTAGGATCCCCAGGTCTTAGCATAATGCCTTGGCACATAGTAGATGTTAAATAAATATTTGTGGAATAAATCAATGAGTGGATAAAAAACTGTTACTATCTGTTAAAACCAAAATGCCTAGGACTTCAATGCCTTTTATCATTTTCCTTCTCTTCTTCCTCTCCGTCAATTTGCATGTAATTTCTTCACTTCACCCAGGGAAATAAATTTGCTGCTTCCCAAGGGTGACATGCTTGTTCTTCTGCATAAGCTGGTCTCTCCACATGGGATTTGCTCCTTCTTTCGGCATTCAGCTATTCATTTTTTCAGCCAATATTAACTGCTTGTCTACAGTAGACCAGGCACTTTAGCAGGTGGTGGGGAAATGATGGTGAGCAGAAGTAAGCGTGGGCTCTGCTCTCATGGACCCTGTGGTTCCTCTTTTCCTTCAAAACTTGGGTCCAAATCACCTGTCACAAGACATTCTCTCCCCAAATAAGCACAATCCATTCTAATGGTTCTTCTGTAAATTCCTAATGATTTTTCATTATATATTTACATTATTTATATATTTTTTGGTGTTAGTTGATTTTGTATATATATGACGTATATATATAAATGTATATATTTAAAATATATGTATCTCTGAACTCCTGCCCTTCTGTGCCACATTACATTATCTGTAATCTTTAATGGGTTCTGTGCCTGCACACAGTGGATACTCAATTTATGATATTCTTGGACTGATTTATTAATGGCTAGAAGACAGAACAATTATTACACTTATTAAGTCACATCTGAAAACAAATCTGGAGGAAGGAGGTTTTCCAATGATGCAGAGTGAATTCAAAATTAAAAAAAAACTTTTTTCTGTATTGTGGAAAGAGTCAGAAACAAAGTGAAGGTTAATTAGGGTAACAGTGGGATGACACTTGGGGAGGAAACAGCACAGGGATATATGAAGAACCTACTACGACCAGAGAGAGCTATGCGGGGGATGGCAGGGGTGGGGAGAGAAGAAACGACCTCTGCCCACCAGCACCTGCGGGCTAATTAGGAGACAAAGTAGACACATGCCAAGTCAAATAATAAAATAGGTCCACAAGATATGAAAGAGCTGTCACCAGGCAGCATAGCCTCATGGTTCTGCTGGAAACACTGAAGGAGTTCAGAGGAGAGAGGACATAGTCTCAGTTGTGAACAGTCAGTGCAGACTTCACGAGGAAGTAATCCTCAGATTATGGGATTCCACCCAGCAGTTAATGACGGGAAGCACGTTGACAGGTAGAGCAGGGCGGAGGTGATGTTTTGGTGTCAGATGTGTTCGAGTGGGAGGCCACAAGGTGTGTTTGCCAAATAATGAGTCAACTAGTTTACCTCTAGTTAAGAGTTTACGTGGGAGGCTAATGGCAGAGAAAGCTGAAAGAACAAGAAAAGACTGGCCACAAACGAGTACCAAAAAGATCCGGAGAGTAAAGCCTTAGTCTCAATTTTTAATAAGAGGGGGCTAAGTGTAGAAAGAGTGAAGGACCACCTGTACTCAGATGTTTTTATAGTGCAGTATCCAGTTCCTGACTCTACAAGTGAAAGAGAAATCGGATGATAATCACAAAGAATTCGGATTATGCAGTCCAGACTTTTAAACACAAGGGCCAATTCGATGGTGTATGCAAAACACTTTTTTATGGTGAATGAAACAATAGTCCTTGGAATCCCAGTTAGAATTTGGGGAGTATTTAAACATTTGACAAGGGATGAAATGTGCCTTTACTGAAAGTCTTACAAATATTAGCATCACATCTCTGGCATAATTTGGGGTTCTGCCTGAACGAAAGGGGACAGCCTGATCAGCGGTGCCCCGCTGGGCCTCACCTCTAAGATGATACACGTACTTCCTGTCATGTCTTAATCGAGCTCGAGGCTACCTCAGGCAGAGTGATGTGACCAACTTTAGATTATGAAATAGTTTGAAAAATATGATCAGGAAGCATGCCAAGGGAAGGTTTTTCGTTTTAGGACAAAAAAACCTTGAGCATATTTGCAGTTTCAGGATCAGAAAATGGTGGAAAGCGAGGGCCAGGGATGGAGGGGAAATGGAGCAGTTTGCTCTGGGTTTACCCCTTTCTTTGAGGCAAGATGAAGTAAGGGTGAGGCCTCTCTTGAGGTGGAGGGGAGCAAAGTTAAAAGAGAAAGGCAAGGAGGAAAAAGGTGACACAAGTGTCAACTGTTACATGGCCCTGGGCTAACGCTTGATATATACGATCTCCTTAATCCTCACATTATCCTCTGCAACATACACTAATCCCATTCTGAAGATGAGCAAACTGAGGCTCAGCAAGGTTAAATAATTTGCCCAAGCTCACACAGCTAGAAAGTAGAGTTGGGACTGAACTGGGTCTGAAACTCACTGGTCTTTCCACCACTCCGCATTGCATCATCAAGGGCATTTGTTAGCACAGCATCGACTATGAAAAGCACTCCAGAAGAGCTAAAAGGAAGGACTCATCGCCGCATCTTTTCCATGATGAAAGGAGCACAATGGTAAGGAGGAAGGAGGATTGAATTAGGGGCTGAAAAAAACCGAGACTATCTGGACAGGCCTTAATGGAGCCTGGGAGGCACTTAGATGGAGGTCAGTAAAAGGGATAGCGAGCACTTCAGGGGGCCCAGCTGAATGTAGTTAGAAACTTCTACGTCAAGGAGAGACTGGGCATCCACGAATTGGGGATGTGGCAACGTGGCCTATTAGGGCCTGGGCCCTTGAATCCTATGTGGAGCAGGCAGTGCTAGAAGGCCTGCCTGTCGCTGGGTGGAGTTAAGTTGCACTGGGCCAACAGTGTGGGCCTGGGATTGACAGGCTGTGTTTAACAGCCTGGGTGCAAATACAGAGAAAACAGACAGTAGGGATTCCATAAGAGCAGCCCCTACTTAATTTACTGATGGAGATTTATTCCTTGTCGCACAATCCCACCTACTTCTCACTTCCCCACGATCGCCATCTTTGCCAGAAGTTTCTCTTTGCCTGACTTTTGTTTTATTTTCCTGCCAGTTCTTGAGCTGAGTTTGCTTTCTCACCACCCTCAGCTTCGTTATCATTTCCCCTCCCTGTCCTGGTCCTAATCTCCTGTCAAGGCTCCTAGCAACTCTTTTAGATGTTGGGGCCTGGGGGTTCAGGCCTCCAGCTTTAAATTCTTGTGAAGGTCTGAGCTTCCCTTGGGTTATTAGTTCCCATTGAAGCAATGAAAGCAGTGAAACAACTCTCGCAAGTTGTCAGACATGCTTTTGACTTCACAAATCTTAAACCATTTCGGGATTTTTTTCCCAATGAAATAAGGTGTCTCAGCTAGAGAACGTAAAACACACACACATACACACACACACACAAACACCACAGCAACTAAAAAGTCTGCAGAGTTTCTATATCAATTTTGAAGGCTTTGAGCATAATTGGATTAAGAGACATAAACAGCTGGCTTTGCAGAGATGGAACCTGTACCTGAGGCATATGGATTGATGATGGAGATTTAGCTAACTTACTGTCTTGCATCAATAAAATAAATAGGGCCATTAAAAACATACATTTTTATATATACATCTTTATCACCATTATTCTGAATAGATTATGTGCCAAAAATGTGCTATGAATTTTCTAAACGCGACAAACCTGGCAGTATGTTACAAATAGTTATAGTATTATTACCATACGTTCTGGTATGTAGTTTCTGGGAGTAGTTTCTGAAGTTTGACACCGGCTGGTTGTGGTTTGAGGTTAGTGGTTTTTGATTTAGAAATTCCCATCCACCACTTGGCAGAGCATTGCAACTGACAAGAACAAAATTAGTTTGCAAAATGGAAAATGAACTCTCACAGCTGTCTGTAGGAGACCTAGCCTCCTGGTCTCCGTTCCTCTAGCGGATGTTGGGGAGGAGCTGGAGGGAGGGGTGTGGGAGCTCGGACATGAAGTCACTCGGTGGAGTGAGTTCCCCTTATTCCTCGGGGAAACCATTCCAGGGGTCATGCTTTAGAAAATCCTCCTCCTCTCATGGATTTTTGTTTTTGAGTCATGGATTTGGTTTTCAGTCTATTCATTGCCAGACTCTATTATTAACATCTATAAATTTATGAGAAGCATGGCAGTCTTGAGCTGTTTACCACCAGAATATTTCGATTTAGTTTTAAATAATCCCAAGTACATTAGAGGACTCTTCGATAGCAGTTCCATATCACATCCTGGCGTGCGGC